TCTCTCTCTCTCTCTCTCTCTCTCTCTTTGTCTCTCTCTCTCTCTCTGTGTGTGTGTGTGTGTGTGTGTGTGTGTGTGTGTGTGTGTGTGTGTGTGTGTGTGTTTGTCTATCTGTGCGTGAGAACAATTACCAAGACGAACAAGAAGAATAAAGAGGAGGAAACTTTCAGTAGAAGCGGGAATAAACGGTCAAGAAGTGAAAGATGCCGATGGAAGAGGGGAGGCTAGTGCGAAAGAGGGAGGTTCGGATGGGGAGGGTCAAAGGATCCTGTTAACTATAGATAGCTCCTTTTTTTTGTTTCTTGATATTTTCTACTGTCTCCTTGTCTTCCAACTTCACCCCTCCCCCCTCAACTCCCTTTCCTCCAAACGGTCCTCGTTTTTAACCTGGTTCGATCTTCAAGATTGTTGTTAATGTTGCTTACCCCTGTGGACTAAGAAATGTCCTCCCTCTTCTTCCCTCCTGGTCTCTATATCCACTTTTCAACCTCCTCTTCCTCCCTTCGACCTCTTCTTCCTCCCTTGCCTCTTATATATCATCTTTCATGTCTCATTCCTCTCCCAGTTATTTCCATATCCTCCTCCTCCTCCTCCTCTTCCTCGTTCTCTGTCCCTTTTCTCATATCCTCTGTGTCTTGTCGACTCCCTTTTACATTCCCCTGCTTGGGAAAGTTTCATGAAGTTGAGGTGGGAGGAGGCCTTGGGAAAAAAGGGGCGAAGAGATTAAGAGGGGATGGGCAAAGACGTAGACAAAAAAACTGCAGACGAAGGGAACAAGATGAGGTGGGAGCGAAGGATGTGCAACAGGAGGACGACCTATACCACTTAAAAAGAATAGGGGAAAGAAAAGTACGACATAAATGCCGTCAGATACACTTAAGAAAGTAGTAATGTGAGTACGCCCTCAAAAGTTACTCTTGCTTTTTTTTCTTTTTTTATTTTTAATGTGCTCTTACAGCTTTTTCGGTTAGAAGAGAACAATGAAAAAGATTATTAAAAATTGCCCTAGATAACTGAATTGGAGTGCATACGAGCCGGAGGAGGATAGCACGGAAGTGGGGTAAGAGTAGAGGAGCTAAGAGGAAGAGGACAATGCATTCACCGTTACGAATCCAAGTATCCATCGACCTAACACCTGGGCAAAAACATATCTATGGCGTTGATGCAGGATGACTCACCTACTAGCCACATTGAGTTGGCGGCCAAAGCCCACACGCTCTATAGCGGACCCACCAGGTGTGGTGCTTCGCTAGTGATAGAGATGGAGAAGATGGAGGAAGAAGGGGGGAGCGAGATGGCACAACGCAGCTCCCCACGCAAGACTCCAACGCACGTACTCCAAAATGTGCAAGTCAAGAATGAGGACGAAACAGACAACTGCTGGGGTATACCCCAGCGGACTGACTGGACTGGACTGGACTGGCTGGTACCGGTCTGGACTGGATTGGGCTGCCCCTAAAAAGAACACATGCCTGTGAGAACAGGCCAAGGGGCTGGTCTCACAGGCCAACCAGAGGTCCGCTACACGATCCTCGGCCTGTGATGGATCGCCTAGATGCAAACACGCTTCCGCCAAGAAGCGGAACTCTACCAAAGAAAAAGAAAACCTRARTAGTCTAGGATGCRGAGCAARCKCCATGCTGAGTCCATGCGATGCAACCTAGGATAGAAAATGTCACAAAACAGCAATGTCACAGCTAACAGCCTAAGTGAAAGCAAAAACAACTAACTGGCATACATGTCCTAGGAAAGCAAAAGCAACTAACTAGCATGCATGTCCTAGGAAAGCAGAAAGTACTGACAACTAGATCTAACAATGTTGGAGGCAGTAACCTCAGTCTGGGAACAGCTGAGTAGTGTAAAGGTCCTAAGAACACCAAAAGCAGAACAACTAAATCCTAGAAATGTCAGAGGCAGTAGCCTCAGTCTGAGAGCAACAAAGCAACAACAAGTCACTCATATGTCACAACAGAAGTGTGTCGCAAACCAAAGGGTGGGATGGTCTCTGAGGSTGGCGAATGCAGCCTAGGGGTCGAAAACTCCTAAGGGAATCCACACATGGTGACAGGGGGAAACACAWGTCGTGAGGCTCAATGAGGGTAGRGAACTGGGARCGAACARAACCAATGACCCTAACRGATAGACCATCAGGGCGGGTAATGCTCGACTAAGGGGTGACCGCTATRRAGGGTCRACCATGCAAGGGAACAAGGGAGCCTGGTATACTAGGCGCACCTAGATGAAGCATGCAGGGCTTCCTAACTAGGGCGTGAGGGCCGGCGAAGGGTAGAAAGATGATGGGTAACGGAATCATGCAAATGACTCCTAAAGTGAGGGAAGTCGGAGCTAGATCCGTAAGATGGGAAGCCMGGGCAACGCTACGGTCCCGATGCCTATGCGCATACCAAGGGASAGCCCAACTCAGAGGAACCCGGCWAAAGGGMGACCATCATGCGACACAAGCAGGGTACTGTACAGGGTAAAGTGGTAAGAGAGTGGTGACGTCTGAAGTAGGCAGAGCTGATCGTGACGAAGTCCATGAAGCTGCGGATGACGTCCACGATGAGAAGTCCGGAATGTCGTCGAGGAAGAGCCGCAGCGTCGACGAGCGAAGGTAACAAAGCTGGAATAGATGGAGTACTGAGAAGTCAAGGACGTGGGAAGGTAAGTTATAGTCAATCGTCGTATCGAGCAGGACGACGACGAGTGCGCTGTGGACGCTGAGAAGCATCCAATTGCTGTTGAAGGTCTGCCTCAAATGGAGCAGGCTCGACTTCAGCGGTCTCCTCAGCCGGGAGGAAAGGAGGAGGGTCGGTGGGCTGAGGAGGAGCAGTGAACCCAGCACGACGAGCACGGTCATAGGCACGCACCAACATGCGAGCGTGCTGCAAGTGCTCGAGGGGCTCCCAGGTAGCCTCCTCATCAGGCTAACTCTTCCAACGTACGAGATACTCGACGTGGGGAGGGTTGTCGTCGGTGACTCGGCGGCCAATGATGTCTGAAACGAGGAACTCCTCGTGGTCATCCACCATGATGGGTGGAGGGCGCTCGTATTGTCGTCCAACGAAACGCTAAGACGGTCTGCAGTAAGGACGCAGTAACAAGACGTGGTAGACATCGTGCACACGAGTCTGACGTAGATAGTCGGGCAGCTTCACACGGAAGCTGACCGGGCTAGAAGCCGTATCAGAACCGACGGCTTGGAGGATGCTGCATGGGCCAAAGAAGCGACGCCGAAACTTGCGAAGCATGTCCGCTTTGAGCTGTAAGTGGCGGGCGTCGATAAGCACATCATCACCGACTTTGAATGGATGATCCATTCTCAATCGGTTCGCACGTGCTGCCATGCGAGTCTCGGAAGCGGCTATGTGCTCATATGCGGTCTTCATAATCGACGTCATGTGTGCAACCCAATCATCCAGCGCGGGACAACTCGTGTCGGTGTGCAGCTGGGACGGTCGGAGGAAGTCCGCGGGAACACGAGGGTGATAGCCGAGGTCGCAATAGTAAGGCGACATTCCCGTGGCTGGCGAGACGGCGTGGTTGTAGGCTATTTCCGCGTGGGCAAGATGGAGATCCCACTGCTGGTCGTCACGAACAATCTTTCGGAGAATATCTCCGAGAGTCCTGTTCATGATCTCATTCTCACCATTAGTCTGAGGATGGTAAGATGAGGAGAAGCGGAGCTGAGTGTCGTATACATCGTGGAGCCGTTGCCTGAATCGGCTGGTAAAGCGCGGGTCACGGTCAGATATGATGCTCAGAGGTAAGCCGTGGTCACGCACGACTCCGTCAAACACGATGTCGGCGACCTCACGTGCACTGATGGCATAGCGGCACGGAACAAAGTGTGCACGCTTCGTGAAGCGGTCGACGACGACCAGGATAGCATCATAACCGCGAGGGGTCGGAGGACGAAGGGGACCGATAAAGTCCATCGAGATGGACTGCCAACGACCCTCAGGGATAGGAAGAGGCTGGAGCAAACCACAAGGGAAGTGGTTTGCACTGTTCACCTTCTGACAGGTCGGACACTCTGCGACGTAGTCCTTCACAAAGTCCTTGCGCTTCGGCCAGACGTACAGGCGGCTCACACGAGCCAACGTCTTGTGGCAGCCCATATGACTGGCGGCTGCCTGGTCATGGAACTCTGCTACTGCTCGGACACGTAGCTGTCCAGTGGAGGGAACACAAATACGGGGCTCTCTGGTGCCCTGTGAATCGTGCCAATACACAAGACCGTTGTCCCCGAGAGAGTAGTTCGGGACAGTCTTGCCACTCCGATGGGGTCGCGTGGATGTCGCGATAGTCGGGGCAGTGGCGGTACTGAGTGCGAAACTCGTCGATCACCGAGTGGTGGACGGTGCTGACCGAGATGGAAAAGAGCTGGATGTGCTCCTGGTCGCGGTCAGGGCGCCGGGATAGGGCATCGGCGACCCGATTAGTCTCACCCTTGATATGCTCAGTGGTGAAACTAAACTCGGATAGGTCGCGCCACCAGCGAGCCTGTCGAGGAGTGAGCTTCGGTTTTGTCAGAAAAGCCTGGACCACAGAGTTGTCCATACGCACCGTGAACGGTGCCCCGTGCAAGTAGTGACGTCAGTGCCGAGCGGTATAAACTAGTGCGAGAACCTCACGTTCATCAACGGTGTAGTTTATCTCGGCGGGCAGGAGCTGGCGAGAGTAGAAGGCTATCGGACAATCACCTGAGCGAGACTCGACAGTGTCGTCCTCGGCGATGGTAGGAGAATAGTCAATAAAAGGCTCCTCAGTAGCTGGACGAGTAGGCGTCAGTCGGGAAGCAGTGGTAGGGGTAGGTGGTGGGAAGCGAAGGATACGAGGATGACAGGAATTAGGAGAGGAGGGGAAGACCTTAGAAAGCACTGCTCCTACAGCGAAGTCTGACGCATCGGTGGTAAGGATAAAAGGGAGGTCAAAATCGGGTAGGTGAAGAACCGGTGCGCATGTCACCGCCTTCTTGAGGGCGTGGAAGGCGTCCTTGTGGAGGGGTGTCCAAGCCCAGGGTGGGTTTTTCCGGAGGAGGGTGGAGGTAAGGAAGTAGGAATACCTAGCGTATCCCCGGATGAAATTACTATAGTAGTTGGTCAGGCCTAGGAAGCTCGAAGCTGCTTGGCGGATGTGGGAGCGGGCCACTCCGCAATAGCAGTGATCTTCGCGTCGTCCATGTCGAGACCCTGGTCAGACACGTATTGTCCTAAGAAATCCACTTTGTGCTGGGCAAAGCGGCACTTGCTCAACTTGGTGTAGAAGCCATTCCTGCGCAAGCGGTCAAGGACGTCGCGGAGGTGTCTGAGGTGCTCCTCAAGGGTACGACTGTAGACCAGGAAATCGTCGAGGTAGACGAAAACGTACTGCTCTAGGATGTCCCTGAAGATGTCGTGAATCGCCCTCCGAAAGGTAGCGGGTGCATTGGTGAGGCCGAATGGCATCACCGTGAACTCGTAGTGGCCGAATCGCGATTGGAACACAGTCTTCGGCTGGTCGGCTGCAGCGACGCGGATTTGATGGTAACCGCTACGAAGATCAATCTTTGTAAAGAAGCGGTTGCCTGCTAGGCGGTCGAACAACTCATCGGAATGAGGCATGGGGTAGCTGTTCTTAACCGTGTAGCGGTTGAGACCGAGACAGTCGATGCAGAGACGGAGAGTTCCATCCGCTTTGCGAGCAAAGAGGACGGGTGCACCCCACGGGGAGTTGCTGGGTTTAATGAAACCCAGTCTCAGGAGCTCCTCAAGCTGATGCTTGAGTTCGGTGGCCTCGGGGATTTAGAGTCTGTAGGGTGCCTGGTGGTGAACACGATAGTCAGGCACAAGCTGAATGGAGTGTTGGACGTCACGCATCGGTGGGATGTCGGCGTACGAGAACGACGATGGAAAAACGTCGTAGTACTCTCGGATGAGGTCACGAACAGCGGGCTCCAGATCAGCCGTACATCGTGCGAGTTCCTCACCGTCAGCGTCCGCGTGCGACGGCGGGGTGGACTCGACGGACGGCGGAGGGACGGAAGTAGAGATGGGAGCCATGGAGATAGAAGGAGGATCTAGCTCCAGAGGGATGAGCTCGGTGTCGGGACAGGGTCGATCATAGTGTAAGAGATCCGTCACGTTCACCATAAAGAAGGTGACGTTGTCCTGTCGGATGACGTGGGCGAACTGCAGAGGCGAAGTGACGGTGATAGAAGGAGATGGTGTGGGCACGGAAGGCTCCGGGGGAGGAGAATCGGGGCGTGGTGTCGCGGTGCTACCTATGAAAGGTACGCGATACGTCTGTCCACACTTCGTTTTGAGAACGAGAGTGTTGGCCGCCCAATCGGCCTCGGTGTTGCGGAACCGACGATACCACGGAGTGCCGAGAATGAAGTCGTACCCCGTCTCCATCACATCGAAATGTGCAGAGGAGCTGTGGCGACGAGACGCCGAGTAACGATAAGTCGGCTCGAGAGTGAGGAAGAAAGGGAGGTCGGTGACCGTCTGATCGAAGAAGCGCTGGGTCTTGTCATCCCCTAAGGTAACGGAGATGGGAGTCGGAGACCTTGTCGTGGGCAAGCGGGCTTCTTTCACCACACGTGGGTGATAGAAGTCGCCCTAAGAACCGGAATTACACAACGCTGAGTACACCCTCGTGGAGGTCCCCAGTCGTACGGTGATGATCGAGAGGATGCGATCAGGGTTCGAGAGGATGGTGAGAAGGCGACGCAATGCATCGACATGGAGGGTGAGTCGCTCCTGACGAGCTTGGAGCATGCTCAAGTCCAAAAGAGAGGACACAACCTCCTCGCGAGTAGCGAGCTGCTCACTGCAACGGGTTAAGCGAATGGCTCGGTGCGTGGGTAGTCGGGGCGGGGAAGGAGGGGAGACGGTGGTCTGCGGAGGCGCAGACGGTACTGCAATAGAGGGCTGAGTACACGCTGTCGAGTCCTGTGATACCTTAGCTCCATTAGCGAGAGGGGCGAATCGCGACGGAGATGTCGGGAAGCCCACTACCGAGGAGGGCGGAGGTGTACACTGCACCGTGGCTAGGAGGCGCCGCGGGGATGCGAGGCGCCGGGGGGGGATTGAGCACAACGCTGGCGGGAAAGGTCAGCGTTGTGGTGGTCAAGGGCGGTGGTGTAAGGGCACCACGAGGAGGTATGACCGTCCTGACAGCATCGCAAACACCTACGTCGGCCCATAATAGCCGCGCGCTCCTCAGCGGAAAGGACACCGCGAGGAGGAACAAAGCCTAAGGGAGGTCTTGCTGAGGGACCACGGGGGGCGACACGCCAGCGTGACCAGGGCGGCTGCGTGCCCGGGAAAGGGTGGAGAGGATAAGCTGGAGGCGCTCAGCCATAGCGAGAGTAGGGTCCTCCAGGTGGTGCTGGACGGCATCGCCGAGGTCGAGGTCATCACTATGATCACCCTCTGGCGACAGCGGGGCACCAGCATCCTGCTCACCATACTCGAGCGCGCTGAAGCGGCGTGAGAAGTGGCGGCCCTGCTGCGCGGAACGGCGGGGGCGACCGAGGAAGGGGGAACGACGCTGGGAAGTGCCATGGGAGGAGAATGAGGCGTAACTAGTACGTTGTGGCTGGGAGGAGGAGGCGGGGTGAAGACGGGCCCGCATCCGCTGATGGTCCCTGGCGGCCTCATAAGCCTGCGGGCCGATGTATCTCGTACCGCCACAGCTCGGAGCGGTACTCGAGCGCAAGGCTAGCCAAGAAACGATCGATAAGGGCCGCCTCGGGGACGAACGCCATGTCACAAATTAGGCGGGCATCCTGAAAGACCTAGATTTGGCGATCCAGGCCGACAGCGCCACCAGAGTCGGACCAGCGTGTAGTGACGATTCGCTTGAAGGCGTCAGTCACATCGTGGTACCTAGCCCTTTCCCCTACAGCTGGCTTTCTGCAGTGAAGGCCAAGACCCTCCTGGTCTTGGTGTACCTTGTGCCCTTGGAGACACTAAGGGCAAGGTATCACTCCCTTCTCCCCTCTCCCTCTACTAACCCACTCTCCCTACCTCTCCTTTCTCCTCTTATTCACCCCTTCTCTTTCCCCCACCTTCTACTGCATCTTTTCTCTCCTCCTTTTATCTTCCCCACCCCACCTTTCTCCCATGATCCATTCTTTTACTCTATTTTCTTCATCTCTCCTTTTTTCCCCTTCTTCTCTCCTTCCTTCTTGATCTCTCTCCACCTTTCCCCAACCCTCCTCTCCCCCAACTACCACCATCTCATCCCCCCACCTCCCACTTCATCTTTTTCCCTCCCCCACCTATTTCCTTCTCTTCTCCTTCACTTTTTCATTCCCATTTCCCCCACTTCGAATTTTTCTGTTTTTCTTTTTTTCTATCTCTCTGATTTATTTTTTCTCTTTTCCAAAAATTCGAAATATCTTCTTTCCCACCTTCTTTTCTCATTTTCTGATTTATTTTATTTATTTTTCTATTCAGTCTGAAAATTCGATTTTATTATGGCAACCCTACATCTGATTAGGTGTTAGTCTTTACTACTTTCGGCACATGTTTTGACCCCGTGGGGGTAACAAAGTGCTGCCGAAATTTTCTGTTTTTTCTTTCACTTAGTCTTCTCGGCACACTTCGACCCCATGGGGGTTACGAAATGCTGCCAAAATTTTTGACAAATTAGATACGTCACTCCTCCCCACCTCCTCATCCACTTTTTACTTCTTTATTTATTTATTTATTTTATTTATCTCTTTATCTATTATTTCTTTATTTATTTTTTGAATTTTTTTTTTTATTTGCGGCATCTTGACACCTAGTGTGCTCACCTTGGTCTCTCCCTTCCCCTTGGCACATTCTTGACCCTGTGGGGAGTAGGGAAATGTTGCCGAAAATTTCAAAAAAAAAAAAATAAATATTGTTTCCCTTCACATCTCTTTACTTATTTCTTTAATTATTTTTATTATTATTTATTTATTTTCTTATTTATTTTTATTTTTTCTCGAAATCTCGCTGTTTATTTATTTTTCTCCCGTCTCCCCCCCCTTATGCTTGCTATTTWACTTTCTTGATTAGGTCACCGGTACCCTACCCTAGCCACTTAAACCTCGGTTAGGGTTTTCTTAGGGTTTTCTTAGGGTTTTTGTAGGGTTTAGGGCTCCTCAAAACCCCCCTACTTCCCCGTCCTCTTCGGCCACCCTGGACCCGAACCACCCCTCCGCCTTTGACGGCGCCCGTGCTAGCCTTGCTAGCGCCATTCGCCGCTTTCTACCTCGGACTTCCCCCTACGCCCTCCGCTCACGCGGACCTTTTCTAGCCCCCTCCAGTCCGGTCCGTCATCTCCCCATGGCCGACGGTGCGTCACACGCCGCCGACACGGCAATGACCACAACATCGGGCTCCACACCCGTGCCGGCGGACCAGGGCCATCAGCCCCAAGGGGATCTACACACCCTCCTCAACTCCCTCCTTGCGCCTATCCAGGCGCAACTCGCAACCCTTGCGCCCATCCAGGCGCAACTCACGACCCTCACGCCCTTACAGGCGCAGGTGGCGACCCTTGCCGCCGACATGCAGCAACTCCAGGACGCTGCGTGTCCGTCATCTCCTGGCTCCCAGTCCGGGTCCCCCGTCCTCCGACAGGGTGGCCACAACGGAGCTTCCTCCTCCGTTGCCCCTGACCCGGCCATCTTGGTGACTGTCCACGCCCCTAGCACGACGGCCGCTACGATCCAGGCCCCCCCTCAGTCTACGGGCGTACCCGCCCTGATCCCGGTCACTACGGCCACGGTACAACAACCCGCTACCATGGTCTCAGCTTTTCCGGGTGCCTCGCTTCTCCCTCCCCTTCGCACGACCGCAGCGCCACCTGGCTCTTCCCCCTCTGGGATGCCCCGCGCCGCTTGTGCGTCCACCCCCTCCACTCTTCCTCCTGCCACCCCTCGATCGACCTACGTTCGAGGTCTCGCGGACGAGATTGCCYAGCTCCGGGCCGACCTCGCCCTCTTACGCCTTCAGCCACCCCCACCCTCACAGRTGGCCKCGCCTTYRGGCGCACCCCCTACCTCCTCTACCCTTCCTCCCATGCAGGCTCGCTTTTCGCGCCCTGCACCCTATACAACTCCTTCCTACCTTCTTCCTACTCCCGCGGTTGCTGCGACCTCTTCTACCGCAGCACCCTCGCAGCCTGCCGTTGTTGCCACTGCCGCTCCCCCATGCGGTCCGAGGGCACAGTCAGCTGCGCCCCTTTCTCCAGGGCCTGCGCCGACTTACTCAGCCGTGGCACAGGCCTCCGCCCCTCGATCCCCTCGTCGCCAAAAAGGTGGCGCACCACTCATCCGCTTGTCGGATATTGCCTTGTATGACGGTACAGGCATACGCGTGTCTCGGTGGCTGCAGTCTGCCACCCGCACACTCCAGCTCATGGGCGCCACACCCGAGACGTGGGTGGGCCACCTCTCCACGCGCCTGAGTGGCGGTCCTTTCGAGGCCTGGGAGGATTTCTATGCCTACTCCCATCGTGAGGGTCGGACTCCTACCTTCGTGGATTTCCAGGCGTTCCTCGAGGATCGCTTCGGAGCCCGATACGACGTGACTGACGCCTTTGAGCGTGTCGTCACTACACGCTGGTCCGGCTCTGGTGGTGCTGCTGGTCTGGATCGCCACATCCAGGTCTTTCAGGATGCCCGCCTTGTTTGCGACGTGGCGTTCCTCCCCGAGGCTTCCCTTATCGATCGTTTCTTGGCCAGCCTTCTTCTCGAGTACCGCTCCGAGCTATGGTGGTACGAGTTCGCATCGGCCCCACAGGCTTACGAGGCCGGCAGGGACCACCAGCGGATGCGAGCCCGTCTTCACCCCGCTTCCTCCTCCCATCCCCAGCGCACGGGCTACGTCTCCTCCTCCTCTCACGACACTTCCGAGCGCCGTTTCCCTTTCCGCGGTCATCCCCGCCGTTCTACGAAGCAGGGCCTCCACTTCTCGCGCCGCTTCAACGCGCTGAGCATGGTGAGCAGGACGTTGTTGCCCCACTGTCACCTGAGGGCGACCACAGCGACGACCTCGATCTCTGCGAGGCCGTCCACTATCACTTGGAGGACTTTACCCTCCCTGCAGCTGGGCGCCTTCAGCTCGCGCTCTCCGCCCTCTCTCGGGCACGCAGCCGCCCTCGTCACGCTGGCGCGTCGCCGCCCGAGGTCCCTCAGGAGGACCTCCCTCAGGACTTCGTCCCTCCTCGTGGTGTCCTTTCCGCTAAGGAGCGCGCGGCTATTCTGGGTCGGCGCGGGTGTTTGCGCTGCCGCTTGGATGGTCATACCTCCTCGCGGTGCCCTTACACTACCGCCCTCGACCGCCACTACGCTGACCTTTCTCGTCAGCGTCGTGCTCAGTCCCCCCCGGGCGCCTCACGTCCCCGCGGCGCCTCGTAGCCACGGTGAAGTGTACACCTGCGCCCTGCTCAGTAGTCGGCTTCCCGACATCTCCGTTGAGGTTCGCCCCTCTCGCTACTGGAGCTGAGGTATCGCAAGACTCGACAGAGTTTACTCAG